AAAATTTACAGAAAAAAAATTATTAGAACAAAAACAGTTCAGCAAAGTTGGTATACATAAGGTTACTATACAAAAATTACAATCTTATAAACCAACAACAGTTATAAAACATTAAAAAAAATAGATATACCTACAATAGCAACAAAAATATTAGGTATAAAGGAATGACTCTAACAAAAAATGACCTTTATGGATTATCAAAATGTATTGGAAGCAATAAAGAATATGAGCTAGGGGCCTTGTCTATTTACTATCCCATAGAGAAGTATTTTAATGTTTTAACATTGATACAGACTTGCTGATGTAAACTACTGAAAATAACCCTCATTTATCATCTTCACAAGTGGAAAACTTCAATATCATAACATTGTTGATTTTTCCCAAATTAATCTATAAACTTAATAAAATTTCAGTCAAAACTGTCAGAAAGTTTTTCATGAAACATAACAAGCTGATTTTAAAATTTGTATGGGGGAGCACAAGGCTGAGACAATTTTAAAGAATTCCATTTTAAAGAAAAGAATAGGTAGGTAACTAAGCCTGTCAGGAGGCTAGGTAAAGAGTCCACCTGCAATACAGGAGACCTGTGTTTGATTCCTGGATCTGGAAGATCCCCTAGAGAAGGGATAGGCTTCTTCCAGTATTCATGGGCTTCCCAGGTGCCTCAGATGGTAAAGAATCCATCTGCAGTGCAGGAGACCTGGGTTTGATCCCTGGGTTGGGAAGATCCCCTGGAGGAGGACATGGCAACCCACTCCAGTATTCTTGCCTGGAGAATCCCCAGGGACAGAGGAGCCTGGTGGGCTACAGTCCAAGGAGTCATAAAGAGTCTGACATGACTGAGCGACTCAGCAGAGCACAGCACAACCCTGTCAGATCTTAAAACTTACAGTGAGGCTAGAAACTAAACAGGATATGGTGTTGACTCTGGGACAGACAAAGTGACTAACGGAGCAGAGAAGAAAGCCCCCTAATGGGACTGCATACATGGGAACTTGGTATGACAGAGAGCATTTAAAACAAGTGGTGAAAATATTCAATGCATTTTCTTGGAACAATTGAATATCCATATAGAATAAAATGAAATTAGATCCCTATCTTTTACCAAGCAAAAAATAAATCTTAGGGAAATAAAAAAAATCTAAATATGATAAGCAGACTTTCAAATGTCTAGAAGATGATATAAGAGAAAACTTTCATGACCTCAGCTAGGAAAATTTTTTTCAAATAAGACACAAACAGTTCAGCATATGGAAACTGATGATTTTGACTATACTAAAATTTAAAACATCCATATATTAAAAATATCATAAAATGATGAGACAACCTCAGATAGGGAGAAGTTATTCGCAACGCACAATTAATCATGAATTAATATTATCTAGAGTTTATAAAGAATGTCTCCAAATCGATAAGGAAAAGACAACCCAATCAAAAATGAGTAAAGGATATGAAATGGCAATTTGCAGGAAAGGGATCTAGGGGCTTCTCTGGTGGCTCAGTGGTAAAGAATCTGCCTGCCAATGCAGGAGACATGGGTTCAATCCCTGCTCCCAGAAGATCCCACATGCCTTGGAGCAACTAAGCCCATGTACCACAGCTGTTGAGCCTGTGCCCTAGAGCCCGGGAACCACAACTACGGAGCCCACTGCTGCAACTACTGAAGCCCATGTGCCCTAAAGAGCCCATGCTCTTCCACAACAAGAGATGCCACCACAATGAGATGTCCTAACACTGCAAAGAAGAGTAGCCCCCGCTCACTGCAGCTAGAGAGAAGCCTGCATAGCAACAAAGACCCAGCACAGCCAAAAATAATTATTTTTTTTTTAAAAGAGATCTATCAGTAACATGAATGATGCTCCACCTTAGTAGTGGGACATAGGTTTTACTGCTTGCAATAAAGACCTAAAGTAACAGTGGCATTAAAAACGTTAATAGTCTAAGGCTGATATGGTGGCTATATTGTGTGCAGTCATCAAAGCTGTTAGGTCACTCTTTGGTCAGAGATCTCGGTCTTTCTATTTTGTTATTCTGCCATCCCTCATATATTGTCCTTATCTGTGTGGTTCAAGATGGTTTAACAACACATCTGCATTTCAGTGAGTGGAAAGTGAGAAGGGGAAGGGGCAGGCATATTGGACACAACTTAGATGATGCCCAAATCATTTCTCATAAACCACATACTCTCACCTTGATGCAAGAACCCTGGGAAACATAGTCAGTCTTCATTCTGGATGGTCCTTTGTCCAGCTAATAATTGGACTTTCTATCACTGTGGTAGAAGGGAAGAAGTTTGGGAAGTAGTCTCTACCATAACAGGTAAACAAAATATCTTACACTCATTTGATTGGAAAAAAAATTTAAACTTTTGAGAACAAGTGTTGGCAATGATATGGTACAAAGCAAATTCTTATATGCTGAGAGTGGAGCATATGGTCAGTTTGGAAAACAAATTGATAATATCAAGTAATATTGATGATGTGCATATTCTCTGAGGTGGCAAGTCTATTTGGGGGATATACTGAAAGAAAACTCTCCCACTTGGGCACAAGTGGATGGTTACAAGAATGAGCTCAGTATTATTTAAATTATCAAAATAATTGGAAGTTTTAAAATGTCCAACAACAAGAGAATGAATCAGTTGTGATCCATTGTATATGTAGTCATACAATAGAATTGTATACAACAGTGAAAGTAAATGAAGTAGAGCTACATGTATCAAAAAAGAAAAAGGACTACATGTATCATCAATAGATAAATCTTAAAAATATAATCTTAAGGCACAGAAGCAATTTGTGAAAGGATATCCGCAATCTGACACTATTTAATAAAGCTTTAAAAATACAAGGCACCTCTATGTACTGTTTATAGAAAGACATCTGCTGTATTTGGGGGGACCTGACAAATAGCATCCCTTTTTCCTGCCCAGTTTCTGAACCAGTTGAGAAAGCACATAGGAGTTAGCAGATTAAAACCAAAATATGAACTTCATGACCCATAAAGGATAGATTGAAGATTGTGGCCTTCATATTAAATGAGAGCTGAAATGGTCTTGATAACTCTTCCCAGTCTAGACTTTAGAGCAGCTCACCTGTGGGAAAATTTGAGGGGCAAACTCAAATCTCCTCAGCCCCTCAGTCCATCGGCTCCCTCGACTCTGATAGAGAGGGAAGGAAAAAGAGAGTAAATCTCACCTCAGGACATATTATTTTATATACTCTCTTTAGTCCAGAACCCTGAATCAACAACCGCCACTCAGCAGCCAGGGATGGGGCAAGGATCAAGGAGGGTTTAAGGAAAATCTCTCCTAAAGGAAACTCAAGAAATGACTGAGAAGTATCCTAACACTTATAACCATCTCATGGGGATGGCAAGAACCAAATTTGACCTAGTTATTATTCCTAAGCCCTGTCTAACTCCCCAGGGACTGTAGCCCTCCCGGTTCTTCTGTCCATTTACCTATTCACAAAGAATTTAATTTTTAGGAGCATTACAACCAAATGATGGCCACTTGCATGGAGTCAAAAGTTAAATCTTTGGTGGACATATGTGACATCCTGCACATTCCAGTAGCATCTTATCAACCCCAAATAGACACACATTTGGGCTTTTCTGTAACTAGTGAAAATATAATCCAGTGCTGGAGAGTGTCTAGTTAGATGTTCATTCTCATTCTTAGTTAACAAGGGTGAAATTAAGACCATCCCACCTTTCTGAAAAACAGCTTAGGAGAAGGTGTCAAAAGCTTTAGAAATATGGAATTCCACTTCTAGGACTCTGGCCTAAAGAAGTTATCTGAAATGCCAACAAAGAGTTGGGCACAAAATGCTCACTGTAGCATGTAGCTTCATGTAAAACATCCTCCTCTTCTTTTAAGTGACACTATAATCTAAATATTCAATTATATAGGAAGAGTCAAACCATTTATGGGTTATTATGCCATAAGGTAATGTTTTACAATTATTTTTGAAAAACCTTGTGAAATAAGAAAGTTATAATTTAATATAGAATTTGTATATGTATATTGTGTATAAACTGTATATTTGCTGTACTTATGGTTTCACCTATATGCATAGAAAATGACCATCTTTTAAATGATGCAATTATGCATGATTTTATTCTTTATATTTTTCTGTATTTAAGAAAATATATAATAAAAACTTTATATTTTAAAAAGAATCTCCTTGAAAAATAATATAGTATCATGTAATATTAAAGCTCATTCCATATATATTTTCCATCTTTTCAGTTCTAATTTTCACATAAAATGCATTAGATTATCCAACAAACAATTAAAATATATTTAAACAGTAACACTGTTTAAAAGCTCCCTTTTATCATGCCACTCAGAAATTCTGGTTTCCTTTTAAAGCAAATTATCCTTCAAGTGATGAATTTCATATTTAACTTATAGCCTTTATTATCAATTTTGCCATCCTCATCCAATTAAAACTTTTATCGGGCCCTTTGCTAAATAGACCTTTAAATTTTTTATGATACGGATTGATTGCCTAATGCAGTGTTTCTCAGTCATGTATTTGTTTATTATTCTTTGAGGCATACAGGCTTCACTCTAGTTATAGCACAGGCTCAGTATTAGCAGCATATACGCCTATTTGCCCTGTGGCATATGGGATCCTAGTTCCCCGAACAGGGATCAAACCCACATTCCTTGCTTTGGAAGGTAGACTGCTAATCATTGGACCACCAGGGAAGTCCCCTCAACCATTTTTTGTCATCACCTCCCTTCAGAGCCTTTTTAGACATTTTTTCATAATTTCCCCCACCCCACAAAATTTTAATATCTGTTTATGTACTATGTGTATATTCATGGCTTATATCTAAAAAGTGTAAATTTTTCACTCTCCCAGGAACTAATTTTCACCCCTTTGGTGGTGATACTGCCTTCCTTAAAAATATGTGGCCTAAAGAAACATTTTGGGAAAATGTTATTTTAACTCTTACAATGAGTCTCAAGCCCACGTGTTTTGTTTTTATAGCTGCCTGCCTCTCAAACATCACATGGTGATCACTCCAACACTACTACTGTGGGGAGAGAAAGACGCATTTATGGATGTTGAGATGGCTGAAGTCACAAAGATTTATGTTAAAAACTATTTCAGGCTGACTATTTTGTCAGAAACCAGTCATTGGCTCCAACAAGAACAACCTGACATAGTGAACAAATTGATATGGACATTTCTAAAAGAAGAAACACGAAGAAAAGATTGACTTTTTCTATGAGGAATCTATAATGGAATCTCCAAATAATTTTTAAAAATTGTTCATCAACTTCTTTAAGCTTCATTAGGAAAAACTTGTTTTAATATGCTTTATTATAAATAAGTATCCTGACAAATGATATTGAAAAAAATCTGAGAATGTGTGAACTTGTAATATAATGTTGATTTTCTTCTGTTGTATTTTGCACAGAAAAGCATTTGCCTTAAAATGTATACACTTGGACAAAAAGGAAGTTGGAAAAAGTGGCTCAGTTTTGGGTTTTTTTGCATTCTTTACCTTGTTAATATATGGTGCCTTTTACAAATGTATATTAAAGATTAGTTGTGCCATATTAAAAGGCAAACGTGCAATGGTATAAATTTTTATTTTATTGTTCAAAAGTTCTTTTTACTATTTTTTAACCATTAAAAAATTCTGTTATCACAATATCTTGGATTTAGAGTATATTTATTAGTTTGAAAGCAAATATGACAAGGTGAATATGCATCTTAAAATAGGCCATAAATACTACTTACACTGGGAAGAGTAACAAGAGAGGATATGAAGATTCTTATATTTACATACATAATTATTAAACATTATAGGGAAGCAAGTCCATTCAATTATTTACCTAATTCTCTAGCTAAATGGGTGAGAGATTTAGGAAAAGGATCAAAATGTCCTTTTGCCCCATTTAAAGCAAGAAGAAATGAATACTGTACTTTCTATGTGCACTAGAATCTCAGCTCCACAGGGCAGAGACTTTTGTTTCATTAACTGACACAATATCCAGCATCTAAAATAAGAGCCTGATTCTTTGTGTGAGCTCAAATATTTGCTAAATGAATAAATAAATTATCTGATACACTGTTAGGCACTGTGGGGGAAATATGAAAGAAAAGTAACATCATAATATTGATCTTTCCCTTAAGAAGTATACATAGAATGCATGTGTGCATGCTAAATTGCTTTAGTCATGTCTGACTCTTTGTGACCCTATGGACTGTGGCCCGCCAGGCTCCTCTGTCAATGGGATTCTCCAGGCAAGAATACAAGTGGACTGCCATGCCCTCCTTCAAGGGATCTCCTTGACCCAGGAATCAAACTTGCACCTCTTATGTTTCCTGCATTGGCAGGTGGGTTCTTTACCACTAGCACCACGTGGGAATGCAGTTAAATTAAACAAGGGTTCAAAAGAGTAATGAACATTACAAATAAGAGTGGGAAAGGAATTCCCTGGTCCAGTGGTTAGTACTCAACCCTTTCACTGCCGGGCCCAGGTTCAATTCCTGGTTGGGGAACTAAGATCCCACAAGGGTGTGCCCCCCCCCCCAAAAAAAAAGGGAGAAGAATTACAGAATTGAGGATGACACCAACTTGAGAGATTACTACTCATTCTCTTGGGTTGCTCTCATTTGGAATGGGAGACAACCAGAAACAATGCCAAATCATGGCTTTTTAGAGTCTACAATGGTGTTCCTAATGTTTCCCTCACTAAGCATAGTTCTGAGAAGTGACAGAAGTAAGTGGAATGTCTCTAAAAATTCTTATTATCGTATCCTAGCAACATGTGTTTACCAATAAAAGCCCAGTTTTCTATATACACTGTGGTGTATGAGGTACTTCTACCTCATAACATTGCAAGGTAGGGAGTATCACCACTTTAGAGATGTAAAAATGAGATTGCTGCCCACAGCATAACAGAACCAGGATCTGATCTAGATCCATTTAGTTGTAAAGTCCATAATCTTTCCACTTAGATCACATTTTGTTTAACAGTCTTTGGTATCCATACTGCTCTTCCTATTTTGTGGGTAACCTAGTATATTCCAATAATTAGAAACACCTTTCAGAAACCTAGAATTTGACTTTGAATTCTGAAGGAATTTAAATTAGCATATAGCAAACAGGAATATTTCACATAGCAGATGGTACAAGCTATAGCAGAGAGCCTGGTTCAACCAACTTTGATTATGCTGCCCTCTTGATCATTTTCAAAGGGCAGCAACTAAGGAAGGAACAAGACTTTATTGACCATGTGTCATGACACAATAAATTAATCCTGACTTATTTTAATGAAAACCTGTTTCTGACTAATGTGATTTTAAGGTTTCTTGTTTTTGTTACTTATGTCACTTTGGAATGCTGACCAGTTCATCTGGACTAATATTAAGAATATGGGTCAAAACGTGCCATGGCTAATCCTGGCCTATGATAATGGATGTTTTCTAATTTTCACTGGATGTTTCCAGAGAAGAGTGCTTGCAACAGATATAAAACCTCAAGGGTGCCATCAGTTAAACGTAGTATAAAGAGACAGTCCTGTCTCTGCAGAAATCAATTTGTAGGAAGAATAAATAAATTTGACTTACCAATTGCCAAAGCATCTCACAGTAAGCAAACTTGACTGGTAAAGGCATTTAAATTAAAAAGTTGTGATTAACAAATATTCATCTATTTGATAGACTCTTAGTAGGTATATAATAGACGACAGAAGTTGTTATGTGAAAATAATTTACTAAGCATATATGTCAAAAGGAGTCCATTTACAAAAAAGCAGAAAAGATTGTACTGTTGATATGGTTCTAATTCTCCTGTTACATCACTTACCAGTTTTTATTCTTCTGATTTTAAAGGTAATACATCATTTCCTATTAACTCACAATTGCCTCATAGCATTCCAATTATGTGCAAACAGAAAGAGCACTTAAATATAGGGAAGGGGTGCACTCCGGGGGCTGCCCCCAGATCCAAGCTACAGGCATCCTGAGACTATGGAAAAGTCAGCCTCATGGCACAGCCCACCTCGGACTTCGAGCCTGAGAAGTTGGACTCTGAGCCTGCGGTGAGGAGCTCCACGTCTCCACCCTTGGACTCCGAGCCTGCGGTGTTGAGCTCCACGTCTCCACCCTTGGACTCCGAGCCTAAGGTGTTGAGCTCCACTTTTCCACCTTTGGACTCCGAGCCTGCGGTGTTGAGCTCCACGTCTCCACCCTTGGACTCCGAGCCTAAGGTGTTGAGCTCCACTTTTCCACCTTTGGACTCCGAGCCTGCGGTGTTGAGCTCCACGTCTCCACCCTTGGACTCCGAGCCTAAGGTGTTGAGCTCCACTTTTCCACCTTTGGACTCCGAGCCTAAGGTGTTGAGCTCCACTTTTCCACCTTTGGACTCTGAGCCTGCGGTGTTGGACGCCAAGGCTACGTGGGAATCTGCCTTCAGCCGACAGACGAAGTCCCTGTTCCCGCCGGCAGTGGACAACCCCTTCATGCAGCACACGCACATCAGCGCGTGGCGCTGGGCCTGCATCGTCCTCATGGGGACCGTGTTGGTGCCCGTGCGGGTGTCCTGCATTGCCTTCCTCTTCATCTTCCTCTGGCCCGTGGCTGCGCTTTCCACCATAGGCTGTCGTGCTCAGCCAACCAAGCCCGCCAAGAACTGGAGAAGACTGATGCGACCAACTCTAAAGTTCTTGTTTCAGGTGACTTTTTTTTTAGCAGGGTTCCTGGTTAAAGTGAAAGGGAAAAAGGCCCCCCGAGATGAGGCCCGCATCTTTGTGGCAGCTCCACACTCCAGTTTCTTTGATGCGATCGCCTGTGTCGTGGCTGGGTTACCCTCGGTGGTCTCTGCCAGTCAGAACCTGAATATCCCGGTGGCTGGGAGACTCTTGCTGTCCACGCAGCCGGTGCTCGTGACCCGAGATGACCCCAATTCCAGGAGGACCACCAGGGAGGAAATCCTGAAGCGAGTGACATCTAACAGAAAGTGGCCACAGATCCTGATTTTCCCAGAAGGAGTGTGCACCAACCGCAGCTGTCTGGTCACTTTCAAACTGGGGGCCTTCTCCCCAGGGGTGCCCGTGCAACCAGTGCTGCTCAGGTACCCAAACCCCCTGGACACCGTGACCTGGACCTGGCAGGGCTTTACAGGCTTCCAGGCCTGCATGTTGACCCTAAGTCAACCATTCACCAGGGTAGAAGTTGAGTTTATGCCTGTTTATATTCCAAACATCCAAGAGAGAAAAGACCCTGTCCTTTTTGCCAACACAGTGAGGATCATCATGGCCAATGCTCTTGGGGTGCCCGTGACAGACCACACTTACGAAGACTGCAGACTGATGATTTCTGCAGGTAACCTTCAACTACCCATGGAAGCTGGTTTGGTGGAATTTACAAAAATTAGCCAGAATTTAAAGTTAGATTGGGATAATATTCATCAGTGCTTGGATAAATATGCTGAAATTGCAGTTGCCTCCAAAGGAGGGAAGATAGGAATTGAGGAGTTTGCAAATTATTTGAAACTCCCAATTTCAGAGCCCTTGCAACAACTTTTTGCCCTCTTTGACAGGAATAAAGATGGCACCATAGACTTCAGAGAGTATGTGATAGGTCTGACTGTCCTATGCAATCCTGTCAACACTGAAAAGATTCTGCAAATGTCATTTAAGCTTTTTGATCTTGATAAAGATGGTTTCATAACTGAACAGGAATTAGCAGCTATACTTCGGGCAGCTTTTGGAGTACCAGATCTTGACGTTTCCACACTCTTTCGGGAGATAGCTGGACCAGACTCAGACCACATTTCATACAGGACCTTTAAGAAATTTGCCCTGAAGCATCCAGTATATGCCAAGTTATTTCGTTCATACTTAGACCTCCAGGCGGCCTATGTATATTCATTGCCACAACCAGTACAGGCTTGATGATTGCATTCAGATGTTAAAGTCAGCCCTAAAAATGGTGAAAGTAACATCCAAGTTGAAACTATGATTGAAATAAAAAGCATCCTTTGAGGAAAAACACAATGGTTTTTAGTCTAAGTGGCCTGTGAACTTAATTATGATATTTAAACTTTACTTAAGGAATATATATTTCAATTTGATTTTACAGTACCTAATTTTCTTCTTAAGATAGTAAGTTTGTTTCAGTATGGTCTGAAAGTAGAAAAATAAGAAATCTGCTTGTAACTTTGTTCACTCAGCATGGTGCCTTTATTATTCTGCTTCAAGTAAGTAAAGTAAGTAAAATAAGTAAATAAGTAAAACTGAAGTGTCTTTTGCTAAAGTAAAGCCAGAGGAACATTATAGCCCACCACCTCTCCCTCACTGTTGGAGAGAAAATATCTCATTAAGAGTTCTATTAGCAATAAATACATTGTTGCCATCATTATTCTCTCCAAAAAGGATTGGATCTGCTGCATAAAGCCTTCTTTGCTCTTTCTCAGAGTGGCTCAATGTCCATATTTTACAAGACAAAATAAAAATAAACATCAGGAAGATACAGTACTGGTAGTACCATTGAAACAGTTAAAGATGGCATAGCTGTCTGTATTTTTATTTATTTATTTTTAAGCTATGAAAGTGATTATTGAGAATGTGAAAAGAAATCCCAAGAGACCACAATATCTGGAAAGCTAACTAATATAATAGACAGTTGTTATAAATACAGAAATTCTGATAAATTCTGTTATGTATGATTCTCACCAAAAGCAGAAAAGTTTATAGTTGCATTTTCTGCATTACTGAGACTATTCCTTCCATTCTGACTAGGCACTCATGAAAACTGAGACTTCTGCTTATTTTTTTATACTTTATTCATTATCCACATACTTCCAGCATCCTTTGCTATAAGACATCTTCACAGAGTGATGTGATCTTGAGCCCTAACCCTTCATATCACTTTGTAGGACAAATCAGTGAAGTAGTCTTAGAAGCCATTTCTACACCAGGACAGGGAACTACAAGTTATCCAGATGTAGAAGTGATTTTGAACCAATAAATATGCCTTGCAAACTCAAACTACTGTACCCACAACTCAGATTGTGGCTGAATCCCCAAAATGCCTACAGCCACTCAATGCCACCAGATATGAGAGGACATTTTACTAAGGAGAAAGAGTCTTGATCACTTGTAGTCAAAAATCTCTTACTTTTGCAAACCTTACAAAAACATACCCAAGTAGACACATTCCTAGGGCTTTGCACCTACTAGAGCTTTGCAAGGGCTTGTGCAAGTGAGGTCCCTAGAGCTTAAATGTTATTAGTTAGCTTCCCGGTATTTTGAAAGAGTAGAAAGAAGAGATAAGAATGGGAGAAAGGTAAGCAGATGGAGAAAGCTTAAGGAAAGGGAAAGAAAAAAAATCAGATTTTGAAATAATTTCCATGCAGTTCAGATTTGAGAAAAGAAGGTGGGTAAGTGACATTTCATAGTCCACACTTAGTCCATTCGGGCTGCTATAACAAAAATACCATAGGCTGGGTGCCTTAAACAACCAAAACGTATTTCTCACAACTCTGGAGGCTGCAAGGTTTAAGATCAGTGCACTGGCAGATTCAGTGTCTGGTGACAGCTTGCTTCTTGGGTTCATAGATGTCTTCTCACTGTGTACTTACCTGGCCAAGGGGGCAGAGGGAGCTCTCTGAGGTCTCTCTTATTTATTTTTTCTAATATTTGTTTTTGGTTGTGCAGTATAGCTTGTGGAATCTTATTTCCTCTGGAAGTGCTTGAACCAGTGCCCTAGACAATTAAAGCACATAGCCCTAATCACTGCACTTCTGCGACATCCCCTGGGCACTAATCACTCTTAGGCAGGCTCTTCCCTTGAGACTTGATCATCTCCCTCTGGGGATGGTCTCCCCTATCTCCAAATACCATCACACTGGGGATTAAGTTTCCACATGTGAACTTTGGGAGGACACAAATATCCATTCTCTAGCACCCACCCAGCTTGATAGTCCCATGAAAATAGTGCATACATATGTAGTTAAAATGCAGTACTTTTGTTTTAATTTTTATTTATTTGGCTGCACCAAGTGTTAGTTTTGGCATGCAGGATCTTCAACTGTAGCATGCGAACTCTTAAGATGTGGCATGTGGCATCTAGTTCCCTGACCAAGGATGAAGTCTAAGTCCCTTGCAATGGGAGCCAAGAGTCTGCTTAACTACCAGGAAAGTCTCTACAATGATCTTTTTAAATGTACTGGAAATTACTCATTTAAATAAGAGATTTTCACTTTAAAAAAGTTACCAAGGTATATTTTTATTCAAACAATGGTACTATTACTCAAATATTCAATAAACTATGAAATTATTTCTAATTAGATAGTTAGCTATACAAAATATGGGCTTTCCTGATGGCTCAGAGGTAAAGAATCCGCCTGCCAATACAGGAGACATGAGATGAGGGCTCGATCCCTGGGTCAGGAAGATTCCCTGAAGGAGGAAATGGCAACCCACTCCAGTATTCTTGCCTGGGAAATCCCATGGACAGAGGGTTGGGCTGCAGTCCATGGGATGGCAAAGGAAGTCGAACATGACTTAGTGACTAAACAACAACATACAAAATATCAGAGTCATTATTTCATTATACTCTACAAAATATTAAACACAGCTTTATCTAAACTCTCTTTAACACATAACATTTTTTACTGAAGTATATTTGATATACAATATTATATAAATAACAGGTGTACAGCATAGTGATTCATAATTTTTAAAGGTTATACTCCATGTATAGTTATTATAAAATATTGGCTATATTCCCTGTGTTGTACAATATATTTTTGTAGCTTATTTTATACATATAGTATACCTCTTAATCCCCTACTCCTCTTTGCAACCCCTGTCTCTCTCCCCTATGGTAACCACTAGTTTGTTCTCTATCTCTGTAAAAGGTAACACTTAAAATAATCTTTTTATTGTAAAATGCATACAGATTAAAAACTATATCAAACAAAGCTGTAACTAATAATAATTACATGAGTATATTATATATTATAATCTATTTAAAGATAAACACTGTTGCCGCTAACTCAGATCAAGACATTAAAACTTTTCCAGCCTACAAGATCCTCTATGTCACCAATCATAATTACAATCTCTTCCTTCTTCTCCAAGTTAGATTATCTTCTTGATTTTTATAGTTTCACTTCCTGTATCTCTTTACATTTTTATTACCTAAATATGCATACTTTGATACTGTGATGGTAAATTATATATGTTGTGAAATAACAGAAAATATATATTGGCCTCTGCCCCAGTTCCTAACACAAAGATCCTAAAAACTCTTGTATTTTCCTAAGTGATAAGAGGATTAGGTTTCCCAGGTAGCAGCTAGTGGTAAAGAACCCGCCTGCCAATGCAGGGGACATAAGAGATAAGGGTTCAATCCCTGGGTTGGGAAGATTCCCTGGAAGAGGGCATGGAAATCCACTCCAGCATTCTTGCCTGGAGAATCCCACGGATAGAGGAGCCTGATGGGCTACAGCCCATAGGGTCACAAAGAGTAGGACACAACTGAAGCAGTTTAGCACATGTGCAAGAGCATTAGGAGCATCCTTAGTTTTAACATTTGGTCTTCGATCCCCATTCTTGACATACGGTTTCTAAATTCCTTGGGATTTTGTGAGTGATAGGAGCCTCTTTTGTTCTTTTGAGGTGACTCTTGGGCTTCTGGATGGGGGCTAGTCACCGGAAAGATCAACCCATGATTAGAAGCTTGAAATCTTCACCCCTTCATTCTCTAGAGGGGCTGGAAATAGAGTTAATGATCAGTCAACTTATGTGATGAAGCCTCCATAAAAATCTTCAAGGTATAGATTTTGGAGAGCTTCTGGGTTGGTGAATACATGGAGGGGCTACCAGAGTTGCACACTCAGAGAGGACATGGAAGCTCTGTGCCCTTTCCTATATACCTTTCCTCTCTCGACTGGATGTTTACTTGTATCTTTTATCATTCCCTTTTATAACAAACAGGCCAACAGTAAGAAAACTGTTCCCCTGGGTTCTGTGAGCTGCTCCAGCAAATTAATTGAACCCAAGGAGAGAATTACGGGAACCTCCTATTTATAGGTGATTGGTCCGGATCATAGTAAAACCCTGGACTTGCAATTGGCCTCTGAAGGAGGGAGCAGTCTTGTGGAACTGAACCTTTAATCAGATAGATCTGATGCTATCTCCACATAGTGTCAGAATTGAGTTAAATTGTCTGGCACCCAGCTGGTGTCACAGAATTGGTTGGTGCATGTGCAACGCCCCACATATTTGCTGTCAGAAATATTGTGAATGTGGTAGTAGTGTGAGAGTAAAGGAGAGACACACAAGAAGAGAAGAGTGAATGTTTTCTAAACATGTGTCCACTTGCCTAGGCCATGGTACCCATATATCAGTATTTGGTCAGTCATTATTCTAAATGTCAAGGTATTTTTTAGATGAGATTAACATTTAAGTGAGTAGACTTTGAGTAAAGCATATTACACTCTATAATAAGAGTAGGTCTTTCAGAAAGGATAATTTAAATACGATAATTAAACATTTATTCTGCCTTGGCAGTATGAAATGTATATCTGAATACCCAGTATTTCTAATAGATGTGGGAGAATTCTTCTTTACAAGATTTCCAGCAAATTTCTATCAAATAAATGTAGAAAGAATGATAGAATTATAAAATGATTTTACTCCACAGTTCACTGGTTAAAGTGAGTCTTCAACAGATAAAACTATCAGATGAAAATTAATGATATATTTTAGCAACATTAAATTGGGGATAACTAAAAATTATGTGCCTTCTGATTTGATTCAAAATGAATTACTTCTTGTAGAAGGCAGAATAATGCCTGCTCCCTCTGCCCTGAAAGATATCCACGTTCCTAATTCTAGAATCTGTGAATGTGTTAGGTTACATGGCAAAGGGGAATTAAGGTTGC